AGAAGCAAAATCTTTATATGTAGATGAAATAATGATCTACAGAGAAAATACTAAGAAATCTCTACGAGCCCTTAGAACTTGTATTTGAATTTAGCAGAATTAGAAAACACAAGGTATATATAAAAATTCACATCTATGTATACTTGCTATAAATGAAGAATTGGATATTGAAATTTAAGTTATATAGGAGTACAAAGGACCTAGAAAAGTAAAAAAAAAGTGTTGGAAGACATTTAGTACCTAATTTTAAGACTTCCTCTAAAGCTACAGTAATCAAGGCAGTGTTGGTGTAAGGAAAGACATATAGATCATTGAAATAAAACAGATGATCTAGAAATAGAACCACACATATATGGTCCACTGAGTTTTGAAAGATTATTTAACATTAACATTTTATAGAATATAAACTCAATTCAAGAATCAAGGAAAAGAATGTTTTCAGCAAATGGCTCTAGAATACCTGGTATCTTTATATAAAAAATTAACCTCAACCTTTTATTTCCATACATAAAAATAACTTGAAAGGATCTATGAACCTAAATATGAAAGCCTAAAAGTATAAAACTTTAAGAAGAAATTATAAAGGAAAATGTTTATGAATTTAGGGTAGGCAAGAACTTCCTAGGATACAAAAAAACATGATGTATAAAAGAAAACAACTGATAAATGAGATTCCATCAAAATTGAGAACTTTAAATGACATTGATAAATGAAAAGTAGTCCTTAAACAGACCATATTTACAATGCATATAACCTATGACCAGAATATATAAAGAACACTTAGATCTCATTAATAGACAAACCAATTAAAAAGTAGACAGAAGAACATGATAAATAGCCAGTACAGCACTAGGAAAGGTGTGCAACACTAGAATCAGAAAAATATGAATCAGGAAAAATAACAAGATTGAATTATATACTCATTAGGGAGATGAAGTTAAAAGTTTTTTTTTTTTTGAAGTTAAAAGTTTTAAAAGGCTTGTCATGACGTTTTCTTTTTGTTGGATTCTCCCCTTGCATTTAATTTGTTATGCCCAACAGAATCATTCTGCTGGGCTTCCTGGGTTGTGATCCTCATTGTCTTTTCCCAGGATAGTGTCTAAAAGTTTTTTTGGAGTGCTGGTTTGGTATTCATGAAGTTCCTGAGGTGCTCTTTATTATGAATGTATCTTATTTCTCCATCAATTTTGAAAGATAGTTTTGCAGGGTACATCAATCTGGGTTGGAGGCTGTTTTCCTTTATGGTTTGGATTACATCACTCCAAGCTCTTCCTGCCTTGAGGGTTTGCGTCAAGAAGTCTGCTGTGATTCTGATGGGCTTTCCTTTGTATGTGATTTGTTTCTTTTCTCTCACTGCTTGTAGAACTTTGTTCTTCTGTTGGGTTTCTGGAAT